TAGAAAATCAGTTTCATGAAGTTAAACATGTTACATATAATACCACACATGTTCATTTAAATGAACGCTAAAGAACCGGTGAGCATAAAATTTAGGATGTTCACGAGGAAAAAAATAATAAGGTTATTTAGAGTCCACAAAGAGACAAACCAGATGTCGATCAACACTAAAGTGTTCTCTATCTTATTGGAAGATAAAACTATAGACATCTTGTTAAGACAAACACAGTCCTATCCTAGCCTGACTAAAAGAGCCAAGACAGTTTATCTTGCAGTTTAGCAGTGTGAGAAAGTATCATTCAGTCCATACATACATACATCCAATAACAGACAAAAGAATTTTCTATATTCCAGTCTGCAATGATTGGATAAACTATTAACATAATTTAAAAAGAAAAATAAATTAAAATACAAAAAAGCCTGAACCAAATTTTGCTTCAGCATTAGAAAGTATATCAGTTTGCATTATCCAAAATTTGGATACACTCCAGCGGCCTAGGATGGTGCTTTATATCTATAAGATTGTGCCTAATGGAAATGTTCTTCTCAAATATCAGATATTTGGAAATGTGTAGAAAAATACAGGAGAAACCAAATGAGAAAATAATGTGCGTATTTATGTTTGTAAATATGTTTGTATGTTTATATATGCAACAAGAAAAGCAAGGGTTTTTTTACTGAAAAAATAATATGTATATTTGTGTTTGTATACATACATTTATATATGTGACCCCAAATGCCTTGGGGCTAAAACATTGAATATATAGACAAAATGGCAACAAGACCGAGTTCCTTATTAAGAAAAGCAAGTATTTTTTTTTTTACTGAAAGTGACCAGTTGACTTTATTTTCACTGAAAATAACATTTATTCATTCTGACCCCAAAACTATTTCCAACTGCAGCTGTTTAAAGACTTGTTCATTTTTACAATTTTTTTCATGACTCATATGGGTGGTGCTGGTGTTTTGAGTGTAATTCATCCTCTTGGGAAGAATTACATGATATATCTTGCATCCTGGACAAAATGTCACATTTTGAAAATATTTTCAAAAGTTATCTTTACCACAAAGCCATATACCCTCTCTCTGCTAAATAACATTTTTTAATTTAACGCTAACATTTGAAAGAAAAAAGTTTAATCTTCCATTTGTTTAGAAGATGCAGATAATGCAAGCTTGAAGCCAATACTGAGGGGAACAGATGAAAGAAAGAAAGACTGGAGATGAATGGGGAAAGTTGGCCTTTGACATCCTTGGATGTCTTTAAATATGTTGAACTCCCATTTATCCCACCAATATGCTATAGGCAGTGGTGAGATTCAGCCAGTTCGCACCACTTCGGCAGAACCGGAAGCTATTTTTTTGTTGCCCAGGCCCAGAATAGACTTTCAGAAGCGGCATCCACACAGAGAACCGGTTGCTCACATATCTGAATCCCACTCCTGGCTATGACCTTGCTAACTTGGAATGATAACAATAGTAGAGTAATGCATTTAGGGTCTATCCTGCTAGGTAAGCTAGATTCACAGATGATTGCACTGGTATATTATATATAAAGTTTGTATTAATTCCATCTGTATAACTGAGGAGATGTTCAAGAACACACTTTCCAAAAGCACAGCCATTTCATGTTCTTGGAGGATTACAGAAATGAAACTGGATCATATGCAAATAATCTTGACTAAAAAGTCATAGTTGCACTGCTGGTGAGATTTTGGATTTCTATGTTAAGCCAAAGGGAGGATCAGCACAATCTTCAGAAATTTTTGTTCATTAAGATGCTGCATTTTCACTTAAATAAAGGCAAGAACTGCCTCATTTTTCTCTTCTAAGCTGGCAAGTGTGCTTCTTCCTTTGCTCTTGCTCACTTTCTCAGTGGTACGGATGGAGGATTTGCAGTACTTTGCAATTCGGTTGTCAGTCTTGTTCGTTCTTTTTGCTTCAGGAAAGCACCTTTCCCCCCTATGGACCAGAAAAGTGCTACTTGTGCTTAAAATTATTAAAAACTCACCTGTTTTGTATGTATCTATGTGCCCGGGCAAGTCTGTTCTGGGGAAAAGGAGATTAGTGATGTTATCGACATCAACCTGGCTATTTTGTGCATTGCTTCTACTGCAAATTTGCAAAACCTGTAAGTTTATTGCTATGGAAATGTAGCACTACCCCCTAAAAGGCCACTGTAGTCTGGGTTCTCCTGGCCCTCTTGGTATGGCTGCCAGTTCACAGTGGTCCCTCGCTTAGGCACCTCTGCTTGGCTGGGACACATGATGAGATGGTGGCCAGCCTCTGTCAGCAGGCAGGTCATGTGCAGAGAAAGTATTCAGGTGGCTGTCAGTTCCTTCTTCCTCCTCCTCGGCTTGCTGCACAGAAACCTCTCCTCTTCTATCCACTTCTCTTCCTCAGGCTTACCCCACAGAAGCCTCTCCCGTTCCTCCCTATCACCTTCTCCCTCAGGATTATCCCCCCACACCACCACCACCTTGGCCTTAGCCAAGCCCCAACCCCTCTCTGCCCTCACTGACTCCTCCCTAGGCATCTCCCGGCACTGCCTCTTCAGCTCACCCCACCCCCACTACAGAAAAAGTGTCTGTTCCATGAATTAAAGAGAGAACATTTTAAAATATAACCCTATTTTTCAAATTAAGCTTTGCTTGCTACTGAAGTTAATATTGGCACTGTGGCGAAATCTTCTAGTGGTGCTAATAGAATGGAACAGGAGTGATAGGAGCACAGAATAAAGGTTAAATTTATCCGTGTGTTCCTGTGACTTCATCCTGCTAATTCCCCTTCCTCACAATGTTATTATTGTTAATTTCAATTAGTAATAGTATTAATTGTCAGGTCCACTGAGGCTGATAAACTCAGGACATAATAACCACTTGGTATTCTGGAATGTTTTTAATTGCTGGTAGGTAAATTGACAGAATTTTGAAAGTCTTCAAAAGCAGTTTTCCAGATCAACGTATACTTGGTGTAATAAAAGCGAAGCTACTCTAAGTTTATTATGTTTTCTACCTTCCTATATGTTCAGTCACACAGTAACACATTCTGCCCAGCCTAAAGGCAGCCACTGATTTAAAAAAAAAATCACCTACTATTCTGTTTGTGGCATATTTGTTAAAAAAGAGAAAGGGGAGGAAAAAAAGTTAAATGTATTTATTCATTTGACTTGACTTTTTCTCAGTGCATTAAAAGTCAGAATCAAGTCAGGTGATTTAACCATCTGAGTTGAATAGCAAATATGCTAAAAAACATGTTTCTCCTATGTGGGGATCATTTATCGCCAGGCTATATTCATAATACTGACCAATGTACTGTAAATAATATCTAAAATCTTGCCACTGTGAATAAAATGAAAGTATGTCAAGCTGGTTTTATTATTGATGTTTTTAACATAATTTACAAAATTGCCCCCAAAAGTGTTCCTTTCAATTCAGCAAGCTGTTCTTGCACATGCTGTTCTAAGTACATCTGCATTGCATGTTTTGATTATTTAGCTATGAAGTTAATTAAACTTAATGAGGTTGAGTGGCATATGGAAATTTTCAATAGTATGACTCTAAATGCTTTCAGTGGGATCCATGACATCTCAAAAACTGTTCTTAAGCTTCATCACCAAATTGAATAGGGTTTTTTCCCAGATAGTTTGCATAAAGTTGTACCTAAACAAGTAGAAGAGGATCCTTACAATTTAAAAACAGAAATTTCCATTGTATATAAATTATTTTAGGGATGGGAGCTACTGTGTTTAAGTGAACAAAGCTGTAGCTCCCTTTTATGTTATGATTGTACTTATATGGAAAGTGTGTTTTGTTTTCACATACGCCCTGTGATTTTAAAATTAAGAAAACTGTTTCTTCCATGCTGTGGGCTTGCAATTAAAAACGTACATACTATGTCAAAATACATACCAAAGTGTTTGGGTAAAGGTGCACATAACTGCTATACATCAGAATAAAATGGATTAGGAGATGAGGCATAGTTTGCAGAGGGAGTAAATAAATGCATGTTATTTTCTCTGGAAAGCATAGAAGTATAGAAAGGGTGATATTTGGTTATGGCCTTTAAAAAAGAGATTGTAAAGAGTTAACTTATGTTTTAATGACAAGGTGTTCATAGAGTATCAACCATTAGCGTTTCATAGCATTTTTCTATCTGACTTTCTTTCAGAGGTGTTCTGTGGAGGGGAAAGTATTGCAGCAAGTAATATATTCTAAAGAAGCACCTCTTCTTAATTTATTGTTTTATTTTTACAGATGGTAAAGAATTTCTATTTTAAACAATGTTGCTTTCTGACCATTTCATTGTTTTTCATGCTTTACCACTTTTGAATTCTTTTGTAAGTTTTTGTAGGATAGTACCCTGTAGGTACTGACTTGAACACTTTTGACAAGCAATAGACAGCCAAGCTTCCCACCTCTTGAGAGGTGCTGTGTTTTTCCGATTTGTCATTTTTAGTGCAGGGAGTTTCAATAGTGTAGTTCTACTTTTCCATATGCATTTTTTGTGACTTTGACTTTTTGACTCCTGAACAAGTCCCTGCAGTTTTCTTGGATTTCAGAAGTCCTTTGTCATTGCTTCCTTTTTAGGGCTGAGAGAGAATAACTGGCCCAAGGCAATCCAGCTGGCTTTGTGCCCAAGATGGGACTAGAACTTAGACTTTCCTAGTTTCTGCCCTAATGTCTTAACCATAAACTACATATTTTACAGAAAGGATGGACTTTCACACGCAGAACTGTATTTTGCTTAACCATATTTTGCTAATCTCTCAGAAGTGGCTGAATTCTTATCTCACACCAACCCACAGATCAAGAAATAGAAACTACAAGCTGCATTCACATATCATGTTACGTCAGACCAAATAAAGTACATTATGACTGATTTAGTGGATGTGTGAACCCCGTCAACATCACAGAGAGCCTTAGGGAAAAAGCACTTAAAGGTAGGCAGATTCTGTGACAGCTATTCCCAGCCTGTTTTTTCATTTCATTTTTTCCCCAGATACAGTGGACTATAACATCCATTTATAGAAGTGTCAAGAAGATGCAAAGCAAAGTGTTTCTGGGAAATATATACAATGATAGTAATAAATATGATAAGAAGTATTCAAATCATAAGCAGAAGCCATTGGCATAAAACTGTAGGCTCTTTCTTCAATTGGACTCACACTTCCAAGGTACGAGTAATCGTCATTGTCCTTGGACAAAACACTAAATACAGTCATGAGCATGAGGTGGTCTAAATAAACTATACCCTGTATTGTTATGTTGGGTACAATTGGTGCAATGATACCTTGCTGTTTTCTGATACCGTACACTCCCATATCTTTTAAATAAGAGTTCATCTACCATACAGATCAATATTTGAAAACTGCCATACAAGGTTGAATAATTGAGCAGCATTTGGGAGCCTATGGATACCAGTACATTGCTTGAAAATACCACTGTTATACTTGTAACTACCTGCTCTATCCCTTTTTGCCCCAGATCCAAGTTCGCAGGAGACAGAGTGTGGTCATGTCATCAACTGACTTCCTGTACCAAGATAACTTTACTGAATACTTCGAAGATTATGAGGAAGATGAGCCAGCCCAGGCCTACCTCAGTCATACACAAATCACTTCTCTTGTGCTACAGATGGTGGCTTTTCTCTTAGGAGTACCTGGCAATGCAATAGTTATTTGGATCATGGGCTTCAAATGGAATAAGACAGTTACATCCATCTGGTTCCTCAACTTGGCAATTGCAGACTTAATATTTGTTTTGTTCCTGCCCCTATATATTACATATGTCATCATGGGCTTCCACTGGCCTTTTGGGAAATGGTTGTGCAAAGCAAATGCTTTTATGACCTTGCTCAACATGTTTGCCAGTGTCTTCTTCCTGACAGCAATCAGCATTGATCGTTATGTCCATCTGATCCACCCTGCCTTCTCCTATAAGCATCGGACACTCAGGAATGCCTGTATCCTGATTCTGCTTATCTGGATTTTGGCTACAGTTCTTGGAAGCCCAGCACTGTATTTCAAAGACACATTTATATCACCCCAAAATGTCACCATATGCTATTACAACTTTCACCATGAGTTTGATGTTATTGTATTCAGACATCACACACTTACATGGATAAAGTTCATTTGTGGCTATCTCTTTCCACTCTTAACTATGATTGTTTGTTATTCCTTTCTAGTCAGCCAGGTTAAAAAAATTACAGTACTAACTTCCAGCAGGCTCTTCTGGACTATTCTTGTGGTGGTGGTGGTTTTTTTTATTTGCTGGACCCCGTATCAAATATTTACCATTCTGGAACTGTCAGCTCATCATAATACCTCTTTGCATGATTTGTTTGAAAGTGCCATACCTCTTTCTATTGGCTTTGCCTTCATCAATAGTAGCCTGAACCCTATCCTTTATGTCCTTCTCAGTAAGAAGCTCTCATCCTCCTTTAGTGTGACATTCTCAGAGTTGGTCAAACACACCCTGTGGGAAGTCAGCCGATCTGCCACAGTGAGCGATCACGGTCAGAATTCCCTGAGTCTGCAGTTGACTGAAGCCCCAGTGATAGAACACACTCTGGAGGAAATTTTGCAGTGACTGCCTGTCTCTTTGTAAATTAAATTCAGTTTAGTACTAGGTTAACATACGTCTTGAGTACAAACAAATAGACGATAAGCTTTTTACAAGTTCTGTTAAAGATCTTTAATTTTTGACAGAGCTCTCAGAACACATATGTCTCTCTTAACTCCTGCCTGAACTCTTCTCAGTCAAATAGGGATGAACATTAATGCAGCTTAGAACAATGTAAACATATGGCTGAAGGCCCCAACATTTCACTTGCAAGTATAATAAGGCTTCTGCAATCAATCTTTTTCACTAATTATCCTTTAGGAGTTATAGGGGAGTAGTCTCAGACTGATAAAGTAGAACAATATGAGAATAATCTTTGCTTTCCTATCAGTTTCAGCTTGGTGAATTTTTCTAGGCTGAGATTAAAAATGTTACAAGGGAAACACAAGAAGAAGAAAAAAAGAGATTTTGTAGACGCATAAGATTTTGAAATATATTCTATATCCTAGTATTGCTTTTTTATCATTTTTCAAAAATAAAAAAAATGGTATCAGTGGGGAATTCAGGGCAGATCAATAATTCTGGGCTATATATGTATGTATGTATGTATGTATGAGGAAGTTTATTATAAATATTTTCTTATGTTATCTAAAATGCACAATGTTACAATATTTATAGTAATACAGTATTATATTATAGTGCTATGGTAATACAGTACTGTATTTACGATGCTTCTAGCACAAATGAAAATATATAATGTAAGCACAATTTGATCTCTTCTTTTGTTACTGTTGTTGCTTGAATATAGACATTTACATATATTAAAGGACTTTTCTGTTATTGCTTTCAGGGAGGCATCTGAATGAGTAATCTTGCTTACAAGGCATAATTAACTCTGCTGGTTATGTTATGTACCACTAGAACTGCATATAATATTAACATTTTTCAGGCCAGCCAATGATTAAAATGAGATATTTATACATGAGGTGTGGGCCATTAAAAAGTTTATACCTACAGAAATCTATGAGAATATTTGTATTTAAAGAAGGAAGGAGTATGGTAGTAGTTTTTGCAATATAACAGAAGGAAAATGGTGTTTATAAATAAAGGGGGCTTTTAAAGATCAAGGAATCGTGAAATAAACACAGATGTAATCATAAACATTAGAAAATGTGGTTTACAATGCCACCACCACTCATTATTTTCTTATAGCACACTGAAATTTCTTTAGATGGAGTCCCTCCCCGTTCATTGGATAATTCTTGCCCATATCCCACATTTGCTGGACCTTCCTTTTGAGGCCATTTCCATACTAATGTTGCTCCTACTATGCAGATGTTCTGATACAATTCAAAACTGTCCTGAAGACATGTTCACCACTACTGAGTTCAAAATATTGAGAACATGCACAGAACATCATTAGCCAGACAGCGCATGCCTCCATCTGATCAAAGGAGAATGCAGAGTTTAACCAGTGTTCTGCTGCAAGCTACTCCAGAGCCCAGAACAACAATATTCCCTCTCTCTTCCATTGCATGAATAAAAGAAATAAAATAAATTGTCGATGCCCTCTTTCTCATCATGCTTTCAGTACGTGCATTTGTTTGGCTACAAGTATTAACAGCCAGCTCTTATAGCACAATGGTAAAAGACCAGTATTTGGCATCTTATAACCAGATGGTTCTCTCTCAGTGGTTGGAATGGAGAGAGAGAAGGAGAGAGGAACAAGATGCTGTAGCTCTAACTGAGAAGAGTTGCCTGCAGTCTAGAACCTAGGGGTAACATCAGAGTTCTGGTCAATGAAAAAGCAAAGCACCCACTAGTTCCACTGAGACATAATGTGGCAAGCAATACACCAACTTTAACCAACTTTAAACAAACTGCCACTGAGCTGCTCCTTTCCCAAATTCAGTCCTTATACTCATATGATACCACAAGGAGTTTCAAAATGTGATAAAATCTTGATGCGGAAGTGCCCTTCTTTTGTTCACCAGTAGATACAACACATACAAAAAGGGATAGAGATTTGATCTCATGGTGATGACCATTGACTTTTTTTTAAACCACCCTCTTGTAAGTGGTCTGTGCACTCTTTGTCTCTTGGCTTTATTACAGTAAGAATCATACAATAGGTACTGATTTCATCAGGACTTCACTGCTCAGGATTGCATCCTATATGCCGAGAACCATATTTCCATTCCATTTGTAAAAATAACTTTTATGTGTGTATTTTCTTATTTTGTTATTTCATGGAGAAGCATGGTAGAAATTGCATGGAAATTTCCATTATTAAGCAGATCACTGCAGTTAACTGAATTGTGCAGTTGATAAACAAATGTGGCTCCTCCATTGACTTTGCTCCTTGGAAGCCGGATGGGAAAGTTATAAATGGTGATCCCATGACCCCAGGACAATGCAACTGTCATAAATACATGCCTGTTGTCAAGTGCCCAAATTTTAATCTTGTGACCATGGGGAGATGCTGCAATGGTCGTAATGAGAAAACCATTCATAAGTCATTGATTTTTCAAGTGCCATTGCAATTTCCAATGGTCACTAAACAAATTTTTGTAAGTTGTAGACTACCTGTATGCTGTCTGTTTATCCTAGGATGCAGTTATGTCCCCAAGTTTAAGATATATGTTGGCTTGTTTTCCTTAATCAATTTTAGATTGACCTAAGTAATATTTCAACAGATACTAAAAAGATCAATTTCTATTTTTCCATGTTATAGCAAGATGTCCATGTTCAAATAAGCATGACTTACAGTTACCACATCATTTTTTTTGCTCCCAAATTCCATTTTTCTGGAAAATATATACTGAGAATGCACGGATAATTATCTTTGCAATTGCCCTTGAATAGAGTTGAAACAATAATAAATCCATGACTGGGATACTGTGACTTTGCCAAAATAAATCATTACTCAGAACTGCAAATGACATTGAAGTATAAGGATGTATTTTGAAAATCTCAGTCATCAGTGCCTGAACTCAGCATCCCTATAAATCATGACTGGATGGATTATGATAAAATGTGATACGTGATTCCAATCTAGTCTAACCTAGGTTTCCTCAATCTAGTATGTTTCAGATATGTTGGGACCACAACTCCTAGACTTTCTCTGTAAATTCATTATGTTCCATCTTCTATAGACACCCCCTCCCCAGATAGCTATGAATTTCAGATTCGAGAGATTCTATCTAGTTGAATGCATATTTAAGCAAAGAGACATAATGGGAAAGAAGTTGTTCCAGAGTCCTTTCTTTCCATCCATAGCATGATTGCCTCCCTAGTTATATAGCATTTGAGTTAACTCAAATCAATTGGTCCTTGGTGGGTTGCTAGTAGAAAGCTTTGGAAAGATTTAAATGGCTTACTCATTCCTCAAATCTAAAAAAATCATTGGTGTCAATGTCAAATTTTTTTATCCCTGATCAGATTGAAAAGTATTGTTAACCATTTGTTTTATATCTTTATGTTGAAGGGATCGTAAGTTTATACAGTTTGCTGGGATAGGTCTTTTTTTTTGAGGATTTTTTTTTTTGCTCTTTCAGGTGGGGGGAGGGGAGAGGGCATGGGAGGAAGCCAACAAAATGCTGAAGCAGAGGTATTGCACCTGCTTTTCCTTGTGACTCAACTCAGCACCTTTTTTTTAGAAAAGACACCCAGGACGCTAACTTCTAAGCCTCCCTGTCTCAAAGTAAAATATTTTCAGAAATGTGCAGATACAGTAATTAAAAATAAAGTGCAAACCAAGCAATTTAAAGTCTCTTTCCACAAAGCAGCCAACTTATATTGCTGTTCAGTCCTAAAGGATTATATTGTGCATTATGTTGTACACAAAATTACAGGGTATGGTTTTTGTTTTAAATTTGATTACTGTCTGTTTGAATTCCAAATTATAAATTTGGGGAGTTCTACATTGCTAAGAGTCAGTTGATTGGAGTGGTCTATAAACCATACAAGAAAGTAAATGAATGAACAACTACATTCCCCATTGCAAAAGAACAAAGTTTGCCGTAATTTTGATTTTGCCTAGGTCCAAGTTGCCAAACCTAACTGTAGAAAAAAGCAGCTTTAAGAACATCCCAACAACCCTGTGAATAGTTTTGGAGACAGCACTGATCATCTCACTGCACAAATAGAAGAGAGCTCTCCTGTTACAACATCACGAAGCAGACCGAAGTCTGGAGTAGAAGTGTTCTTTTGCATAGCATGTTTAGTTACAACTATTTCAAAGTGGCAATTCCCCATCTATAATAGTAACAACAATACTGCAGAATAGGAGAAAGAATTGGAGAAAATCACAAAATACAAAGACCTGCAAAGAGAACAACTATGTCAAAAGAAAGCAAAGTTAGTACAAATATTAACAGGTGCCTCAAGTGCAATCTCAAAACTGGAGCACCACTTGAACACCATTGACAAAATCACCGACAACTGCAAAAGGCAGCTTTTAGAACAACTTCCTTCCTGTGATACCTTAAACCAGGGGTTCCCAACCAGGGGTGCTTGCACCCCCTGGAGGTGCGAGACGATATTCCAAGAGGTGCAAAAACTTGGGTTTTCAAAATTATAGTGTATATGCATAATTTGTTGCCATTATTTTGAACTTTTATAAGGGGTGTGAGAATATATCAGAAGCATTTTAGGGGTACGGGGTATAGAAAAGTTTGGGAGCTGCTGCCTTAAATCCATGAAACAACATTTTCTATCTCAGGGAAGGAATTGATAGGTGGATTGAATAAATATGCAAATTCAAGTCTGACTTCCTTGATTGAATATAGATTCTTGAAACACTGGGGTTGATTTATTATTATTTCCATTAGGCAGCTGAAGCAAGAAGAACAAGTATGTATAGTTTGCTCCATGTAAAGACAATCAATGATGTCTTGAGAACAGATATCTACCCTAATGAGCCATGCACAAGTATGGAGTTTTAAAATTAGCTGGAGGCTAGAAGGAAAAGACTGAACACTAATTGGTATTGACTGTAAACTAACGGGACGATTAATCCATCCAAGACAAGGTCTGCAGTCAAATGATACTGTCTTTTCTTTTTCAAACAAAGACTTCTTATTTAAGATTTCAAGTTCTCTTAGCTACCAGGTTATGAATGAGATTTAGATGGATGATACTGAATTAAGACTCATTTCCTCCTCAGGGCAACTTTCAGATTTCTTATGTTTATAGAACAGAAAGGCTGGGAATTTTTTCAAGCCGAATGATGCACCACTGAACAATGTCCATTGAAACATTTGTGCCATTAATTTCAATCACTTGTTTTGCTTTCACAGTCATTGAGAAACTTTATGCTTGGATTAATTTACAGCACTTTTAAATTTATTAGATTTGAAACGTTCCAATGAAAATGCACTTGCAGCAGAGAGAATCTTTATCAAAAGAATGTGCTCAATTACAATGCATAGGGAACCACCTAGGTATCAGAGCAGTGGAATCACAATCTCTACTTGCAGAGAATAAACATGATGACCCTGATGGAGATGTGCAGGAAGTTAAAAGGTTTGAAGTATGCTATAATTCCAGAAGAAAGAGATAGTATTCATAAGTATATCGGGCAAACACCAGCCTAATTCACTGGAGTATAAGGAAGAGGAGAAAAGCCCAGACTTGCAAGATTCTGTTATTATAACCAATTACAATAAAATTTTAGCCTCCCCATGAAGTTGATTTTCTGGTTTACCTACAGGGCTGACATCACTTATCTCATCATAACATTTGAAGTTCAGCTATCCAGTGTAAGATTTGGGTCCAGGAAACCATCTGCAACCAAACATTTCTAATAATCAGATGTGACATTAATTATATAATTAGTT